GGCAGACGCTTAACCACCTGAGCCACCCAGGAGCCCTACTGGTATATTTCTTATAGATTTGTAGATTTTCATGTTTCAAAATTAGCTCTTTCTCTGCAATATGAATTATAAATATTTTCCCTAGACTGTCGTTTATCTGTTAGCTTTTGCTTATGATTTTTTACCATGCATACTTTTCGCGTTTCTAATCCATATTTAAATGAATAAGGCTTTTCTTTTAGGACTTCTGCGTTTTGTTTTCATACTCAGAAAAGTCCTCTTCATTCCAAACTATTTACTGCTGTGGTATTCTTGCCAAAGATGCATACCCTCAATCCAAATGGAGAGACATTCGGCAAAACCACTCACCAGGACTCTCCAAACGTGTCAAGATGGTGAAAGTCAGAAAAAAAGGAACCGAGGGACGGTCTCAGGTTGAAAAGCCTAAGAGTGACAAGTAAATGCCATGTGAAATCCTGATTTATTTATTATTACTTTTTTAAAGATTTTATTTATTTAATTGACACACAGATAGAGAATACTAGCAGGGGGAGCAGCAGGAGAGGGAGAAACAGGCTCCCCGTGGAGCAGGGAGCCCGATGTGGGACTCGATCCCAAGACCCTGGGATCATGACCTGAGCTGAAGGCAGATGCTTAACCAACTGAGCCATCCAGGCATCCCGTGAAATCCTGATTTAGAGGCTGAGGCAGAAAAGGGGAATTAGTGGGAAAGTTGGCAAAATTCACATCAGAGCTGTCGATGAGGTCATAGTATGGCAACAACGCTAATTTCCTGGTTTCCATAATCATGACGCAGCCACGCAAGATGTTAACATCTGGAGGAGCTGGATGAAGGCTATACAGGAAATCTGTACCATTTTGCGACTTTTCTGTAGGTCTGAAATTAGTCAAGATAAAAGGTTAGAAATGTCAAGTTTTCTTTCGGTCCTTTTATGCTTGTATTTTTTTACAGTCACCTTTGATCTATTGGTAATAGTGGTGTAAGGTATTGATCCATATTTTCCCCCCAGATGGCTACTCAATTTTCTTTTTTTTATTTATTTTTTTATTGTTATGTTAATCACCATACATTACATCATTAGTTTTAGATGCAGTGCTCCATGATTCATTGTTTGTGCATAACACCCAGTGCTCCATGCAGAACGTGCCCTCCTTAATACCCATCACCAGGCTAACCCATCCTCCCACCCCCCTCCCCTCTAGAACCCTCAGTTTTTCAGAGTCCATTGTCTCTCATGGTTCGTCTCCCCCTCCATTTCCCCCCCTTCATTCTTCCCCTCCTGCTATCTTTTTTTTTTTCTTAACATATATTGCATTATTTGTTTCAGGGGTACAGATCTGTGATTCAGCAGTCCTGCACAATTCACAGCGCTCACCATAGCACATACCCTCCCCAGTGTCCATCACCCAGTCACCCCATCCCTCCCACCCCACCCCTTACTCCAGCAACCCTCACTTTGTTTCCTGAGATTAAGAATTCCTCATATCAGTGAGGCCATATGATACATGCCTTTCTCTGTTTGACTTATTTCGCTCAGCATAATACCCTCCAGTTCCACCCACGTCGTTGCAAATGGCAAGATCTTGTTCCTTTTGATGGCTGCATAATATTCCATTGTATATATATACCACATCTTCTTTATCCATTCATCTGTTGATGGACATCTTGGCTCTTTCCACAGTTTGGCTATTGTGGACATTGCTGCTATAAACATCGGGGTGCACATACCGCTTCGGATCACTACATTTGTATCTTTGGGGTAAATACCCAGTGCTACTCAATTTTCTAATAACCTTTATTGACTAATTTTTCTTTCCCCCACTGGCCTTTTATTTAAAAAATTTTTTTTTCAAAGATTTTATTTATTTGTCAGAGAGAGAACAAGCACGGGGAGCAGACAGAGGAAGGAAACTCCCCGCTGAGCAAGGAGGCTGACGCAGGACTTGATCCCAGGACCCTGAGATCATGACCTGAGCCGACACTTAACCAAATGAGCCACCCAGACGCCCCAAATCATCTATTTAATTTTTAAACTGTCAGAAATACATAAAATTTACCATCTTAACCATTTTTAAGCGTACAATTCAGTACTGTTAAGTACATTCATGCTATTTTACAACCAATCCCCAGAATTCTTTTCATCTTGCAAAACTGAAACTCTCTACCCCATCAACAACTCCTCATCCCCATCCCCTCAGCCCCTGGCATCCACCATTCTACTTTCTGTCTCTATGACTCTGTCTACCCTTGGTACCTCATAGAAGTAGAATCAAGCAGTATTTGTCTTTTGTCACTGGCTTATCCTGGTTGATGAGCTAACTTCAAAATAAAATGAAAACCTATTTCTGATGCTAACTGGCAAAGCCCCTGGTGTGGACTAAGAGACGGCAAGTTGAAATTCTTGTAGAACCTACTTCTGGAGTTTGGGTGAAGGAAGTTAGGCACAGAGAGGTTAAGTGACCTGTTGCCAATCACACAGCCAAGAAGGGGAGGGGCACTTTGAACCCTGGATGGGCTCCACAGCTTGCTCCCACGGTCTTTGCCCTGGACTAGGGCTCACATAAAAGAGCCCATGCTTGGAAACCAGCAGCATCTTGCTTTGTTTGAGGACAAGAGGTGGGTGAAGTTATGCAAGGAACTGCTGACGACGAATGTTTAACCAGCTATCCAGGAGCGCCTGGGTGGCTCAGTCGGTTAGGTGGTTAGACCTGCCTTTGGCTCAGGTCATGATCCTGGGGTGCTGGGATTGAGCTCTGAGCCCTCAGCAGGGGGTCTGCTTCTCCCTCTCCCTCTCCCTCTGCCCGTCCCCTGCTTGTGCTCTCGTGCACACACTTTCTCTAATAAATAAAATCTTAAAAACAGGGGCGCCTGGGTGGCTCAGCCGTTAAGCGTCTGCCTTCGGCTCAGGTCATGATCCCGGGGTCCTGGGATCGAGCCCTGCATCGGGCTCCCTGCTCTGCGGGAAGCCTGCTTCTCCCTCTCCCACTCCCCCTGCTTGTGTTCCCTCTATCGCTGTGTCTCTCTCTGTCAAATAAATAAAATCTTTAAAAAAAAAAATCTTAAAAACAAAAAACCCACCACCAGTTCTCCAAAAATAGTATGCATTTATGAATGTTTATTATAAATCTTACTGAGTCAAAGGATGTGTAACACAGGATTTACAAATAATAATAAAACATACAATATTCTTTATTGTAAATTCCACCCTTGTATTCATGACTTCATAGATGGAGTTGTGTCCCAGCTCCAGGGCTATCTCCAGTATGAATGCTGGTTGATATTTTTATTTACATTTTTGAGTAAGACAAAAATGAAACACTGAGAATACGTTGAGACTTCACTCGTTCCTCAATGACTTGACAAACTTCTTTGCTGAATCTGACAATAGTTTTCAACATCTGGGGGGATGTTTCCTCCATTTTGTGTGCTATTCACAATGTAACACACGTGATATCTTTAAATTTAACCTGCGTTATTAACATTTTCTCTGTCATCTTCTTAAATCTAGACAATCAACAAAGCCTGATATGCAGCATTTGCCAATTTCTGTGGTATAAATACTCCTACCAAGGCCAAATTCAAAACACCAACTTGATATCTACACGAGTTGGGAAGAGAAACACAAGTAGTAGCCAATCCTTCTATAGCACTTCCACCATACAGGTACAATAAATGTAAATAAGCTCGAGAGCAGGTAACAGTAAAACGTAGAAAATAGGAACCTGAAACGAATGGAACATGTGTGTCAACTGTACTCAATAAAAATAAAATTCCTACAAACTAAAAAAAGCAGCAGAAAAAAATAATCAGGAAGTAATGAGCTTTGAGTATTACCTGTTTTTTTTTTTTAATTTTATTTAAATGCGTATTACCTCTGTTTCTAAATACAATTTATTTGTGAGTTTACATAATTTCTGATAAGAGCTGTGGTGCAAGAGCTCAGCATGCTTCCGAAAGACAAAGTCGGCTTTCCCCGGTCATCGCAGCACACCAGTGGGTGCGGGTGACAGCCGGGCTGCAGCGGGAGGTGGCCTCCCTGAGCAGCCTGTAAGCGCGGCCGGCAGTGTCCACCGTCCTCGGCTTCGGCAATCCGCCCCCACCTCTGCTCCAGCCACGCTCGGGACCTCAGCCCCCCCCGGGCAAAGTAGCCTCCACTCCCGAGCCTCCGCAGTCCTCCCCTGGGGCACTTCCCACGACGTGCTAGTCCGGTACCCGGGCGCAGGGGAAGTGTTTCTCGTCTTCACGAGCCGCAGAATCCGCCACGGCTGAGGCTGAGCGTGGATCCCAGTCACCACGACTCCCTCAGGAGCCACCGCCGTGCTCAGTAAGCACCTACTGCACACACGCCCAGGACGAAGGGCTGGGGGGACAGGCGTGTAGGGAAGGGGTCTGGGCGCGCGAGACACCACCTTGGATGCCTTCTGCAAACTTAGGAAGGCCTGGGCTCCACTATCTAGGGCTGAAAAATACAGAGAACCTTCCCGCACATAGCTGAACCTTCGCGAGGAAATCGGGCTTTGAAAACACTCCTCCTGGGACAGGGCAGCCCCCCAGACGGCGGGCGCGCCTGCACCACGCCCGACAGCGCATTTCGGTAACTTCTTCCGTGGGCGTGCAGGCAGAGCTCCGGGGTTCTCACCAGACCCCCGACCCCCGAAGCTGTACCCCGGCTTCTGAGCAGGTGGCCCTTCCTGCTGCGGACGAAAAGGTCGTGACACCAAGCACGGAAAGACATGAACAGGGACTTGACACACATCGCTTCTCTACACTTAACCGAGACGGGCGTGCGGGGAGGCGCGGGGCTCGCAAACGGCGGAAACCTGACACCCGCCCGGAAGAATGTTTTCGGATGTACATCCCGGGCACGTGCCAAAGTTGCCTTAAAAAGCCGTGCCAAGATATACAACTGGTCACCAGCACCCTCCCCCAACACAACACCTAAACCCGGCTACCCACTACTCGGCCATCAGAATCTACCCGTTTTCACACACGCAAAAAGCCAGATCGTCAGGCAGAATCAGACAGGAGCGACCGGGGTGTTGCAAATCCCAGCCACACAGAGACGCTAATCACGCATCATCCGAACTCCAATCATCATGTTCCGATCTGCCCTCCCGAAGGAGGAACAGGTAAGGATTATCCCACCTGACGATAAACGCAAAGCTCTGCGTATTCCTTACTCAAGGCGAAGGATGCCGCTTTCGTCTAGGGTGAGTAAATAACGCGCTAGCCCCAGCACCTGAAGCTATCGAGGGTCTTCCATTCTATTGCCACATGTATGTACAGATATTAAAAAACATTTCCCCCCCCATTTGGCTGCCAAAAAAAAGATAAACTAATCCCTCCCAGAATGCCCCACTCACGAGCTTGGCACCCTGACGGCAGACAGCTCTTGTTATTTACATATCCCCGCCTACTTCCTTCCGCCAGACGCTACCGTAATGACCAAAATAAAAGCGAAACCTAGGATCTTACAGTCGGCAAGGCTGGAAAACAGCCTTCCGTTTCTTTAGTAGTTTGTCCACCCCAATTCTCCCCTAAACGTTTCGCAAGTCTTGATCTTACTCTAAAATATATTTTATCACAAAGCACTAAATAAAACGCTGATCATCCCAGACTCGCGTGATAATTACCCTAACAGGAACACTGACGTCGTCCACCAAATGCAGTAAGAGGGAGGACTGAAGACAGCCTTTCTTGTTCCGGAAATGGTGAGTGGTCCCTCGATCCTCCAACCTTCAATCCTATGCTCCCATCATGAAGGTATCAGAAAGGTTTCTTTTTCAGCCCAAAGACGCTGACGAATAATGCCATTTCGGTGATAGCTGGGAGGGCACTGTGGACAGTAGGTGGAGAGTTCAAGGATCCTTCCACAAAAACAAAACAAAACAAAAACAAACCCAAATCCCCAAACCAGAGACTCCACCCCAAAAGTGTAGGAGAGGGGGATTTCAAGAGATTATGCTGAGAGGCATGTTGAGTGGTTCTGCTATATCCTACAGGGAGGATATCCTGGATATCCCCTGGGTGGGGGGAACCTTCAGATTGAATAAACCTTCCTCCCCCATCCCCAAACATTGGATGCTACCGTACCTGCAGAAAACAAAAATGTACCAGTACGTGGTGCACTCCCAACGCTCGAATATGAAAAAGGACAGGGATACAGATGCCGTACAGTGAGCCCCAATGGCTTGGGAATGCACCAGAGTCAAGGAAAGCCTTTGGTTCAGTTAGGTAGTGATAAGCCAGAAAAGGCCGTTGCTGGGACAGGCGTCTGCACTCAGGTTCACCCCTTGCTCCCTCACCATGCTGCAAAGGACAGAGCCCGCAAGCCCTGACTTCTCTGAGCTTTAGGACAGCCATGTGAGTAGAGACCAGACAGAGCTGGGCCAGATAGCCAGATAGCCGGTATCTAGGGGCCAGCCTGGACCCTTCAGGTCGAGGAGTAGGCTCCCCTTCTACCCCAGGAACACAAGAAGGCTCACAGTGACTTGATACACTGCTGGAATCGCCATGCAGCGCCCCGGTCCTCCCAGTCTACAATTCAAGTGTCAAGGGCCTTCCCTGATCCATCTTCCTCATTTCTGTCTTTCTTATTTATTTATTTATTTATTTATTTATTTATTTATTTATTTTGCTGTCTCTTCTGAGTTTCCATCGTACTTCTTCATATCTTTACATGCTCACACTGAGTTACAGATGTCTGTCTGAATATCTGCCTCTTCCTCAAGGTGGAAAACTGTGTTTTACTCCCATTAGGGATCTCCAGTGCCTGGTGCATGGCGGGAGCTTAACAAACGGTTGAAGATCGTATTAAAACTTCCACATTGCCTAAGAAGATCTATCAACTGGATGGGCGCCTGGGTGGCTCAGTCGTTGAGCGTCTGCCTTCGGCTCAGGTCATGATCCCAGCGTCCTGGGATCGAGTCCCACATCGGGCTCCCTGCTCAGCGGGAAGCCCGCTTCTCCCTCTCCCACTCCCCCTGCTTGTGTTCCTGCTCTCGCTGTCTCTGTCAAATAAATAAATAAAATCTTTAAAAAAAAAAAAAAAGAAGAAGAAGAAGAAGAAGATCTATCAACTGGAGAGGCTGTCTGCCCCCGCCAGAGCACACACCATCGTGCCAGAAAAGCCGAGTTAGGTGGCTGGAGGGAGTCGAAATGGAAACGGGCCGTGCGTAAAAGGATACAGATGAGGCTCTGGGTGCTGTTGAACATGGAAACTCCGGAGAAGAAACCCGCCAGCTCCACAGCAAAGAGGCCCAGGGTGACGGAGAGCGCGACCACCAGCCTGCAGAGAGCAAAGCGGCTGGCTCAGCCTCCTGGACTTCTTCAAAGACCCCTCCACTCCCGCTACTGCTGAATTCTGACCACCCTGCCCCCCAAGTGCTCACTGGATGTCCTGCTTCTCATACTCCTCCTGGGTGAACGTGAGAGGCAGGCAGGCCTGGATGTTGCTGTCCTGGGGAAGCAGGGCAGAGAGGAAGAAAGTGAAAGAGGGGCGGGCTGCGGGGCAGCACTGGGGTCAGAGGGGGATGGGAGGACCCGCCCCCGTAAGGTCGTGGGGAAGGGGCGCGGAGGGGCTGGGAGCACCCCTAAGGTGGGACTGGGGTGGGCGGCGGGAGGCGGGCGGCCGTGGGTCTTACCCGGGACCAGAACAAGGTGATGACGACCACCAGATGCGCCAGGAGCGTCAGGAAGCGAGAGGGCACGAGCCCCGAGATCCGGCCCATGGTCCCCCGGCGGCAGGGGTGCCGACTGCAGCGGAGGCCGCGCTCTGTGGGGCTGCAAGCTCAGGAAGGGCCGCTCTTGAGGTCTCGCCGGCTGGCAAGCAGAAATTCGACGGACGCCTCCCTCCCGCTCGCGCCGGCGCCGCCCAGTTGCCTTGGCAACCGCGTCAGCCGGCGCAGCGGCCGGATCTCGGAAACTCTCGCGAGGGCAGTCAAATCTCGAGCGGCGGCAGCCTGGGTCGGTGGCGCTAGTCGCGGGTCGGCCGCGAGGGGCGCCGTGCGGGCTCGGGGCAGGGACGCTCTCTCCCTCCTCCGCCTCCTCGTGGCTCCCCACTGCCCTGGGCCCGAGCGGACGCGGATGCCCCTGCCTTGTTCGGCGGTCACTTATTAGATGGTCACGGGGTCCCTGAGTATCCGAGGACCCCGGACCGGAACCTTCCTTGATTCTCTGACACCACCCCCGCCCCCCCGACCGAGTCCCCAGACGACTTTGCTCAGATTGGCGAGGGATCGCAGAGGGCAGAAAATGGCCAGCTCTCCCCGTGGATGAGAGGCGCGTTTGGGGAAGGGAGTGGGTGACCGGGCGGAAGAGCAGGGAGCCCTGCGCCCCGGGAGGCAAGGAGCTGGCGGCGACGCAGACTCAGCTCGGGTTTCCTTCTCTCTCCGAGTGTGGGCACCCGACTTGGCCCAGCTGCAGCCCAGGAACCTCTACGAGCGTCCTCACTGACCTTGGGCCCTCAGCTGGGATCCTTGCAGAAGGGAAAGTTCTCGCCGAGCTCCCTGCCCCCGGGTCAGGTCACAGCATCCCCGGGACCCCTCCCCCGACCCGGCCCATTTACCAGATCATCTCTCTTCCTCCTCTCCACCCCAGTGCTTTGAGGCCGGTCTAAGCCAAACACGCACGCCCAGGGGGGCATTTCTGATTTCTAAATCCATTCGACAAATACCCATTGACCAGCTAGCAAGTGCTGAGCTCTTGTTCTTGACAAGACAGAAGGCTCTACCTTCCTGGGGTTTGTATTCTAGTCAGGGAGACTGACATGGACAGCAAACATGCGAACAAATAATAAATTCGCAGGGTAAGAGGGTGCTGTAAATATATTTTTAAAAGGGAGACGCTAGAAGGACAGATCGAGGAAAGGCCCTTCGAAAAATGAGTCAATCATGGATCCATGATATTTCTCAAGTCAAATTTGTCACATTTCTGTGACAATTAAGTTAAGCGTCTACCTTCGGCTCAGGTCATGATCCCAGGGTCCTGGGATCGAGCCCCGCATCGGGCTCCCTGCTCCGCGGGAAGCCTGCTTCTCCCTCTCCCACTCCCCCTGCTTGTGTTCCCTCTCTTGCTGTCTCTCTCTCTCTGTCAAATAAATAAATAAAATCTTTATTTAAAAAAAAAAGATTTATTTATTTGAAGGGGGGAGGGCCAGACAGAGAGGGAGAGAATCTCAAGCCGACTCCGCTGAGCGTGGAGCCCGACAGGGGCCAGATCTCACAACCCAGAGATCATGACCCATGAGATCATGACAGGAGCTGAAACCAAGAGTCAGATGCTTAACCAACTGAGCCACCCAGGCGCCCCTTATATTTATTTTTTAAGTAAGCTCTACACCCAACCTGGGGCTTGAACTCCCGACCCCAGATCAAGAGTCACGTTTTCTATGGACTGAGCCAGCCAGGTGCCCCTCTCTGTATTATTTTTGCAACAACTTTTCGGTAAGCCAGATTATTTAAAATAAAAAGTTTTAAATGTTAACCCTTTCTAAGGTTTCCTTCTGGGTCTTCTATAATATCATTGAGACATTAAATTGCTTTATAAAAAGAAGGAATGATTTCTGGATTGGTGGTCCCTACTTGTTAAACTCCTATATATTGAAACTATGCAGTGACATTTTCCTATAAAACCACCTCTTTAGAGGGCAGTACAGCCTTAATCTCATAATGGAGACAATGTGGTCCCAAAACCCATAAAATAAAAAACGCAATCATTTAGACTTTTCAGAGGAATTATTTGTATAAAGAGTGAGATTCAGCCAAGTCTCTGTATTTTTTTACTCCAAAACTATTGGATGGTAATCAAATATTACCTGCACGGGTTTCTGAGCTCTCAGGTGTGTAGGGGAGGTTCTCTCTTTAACCGCTGAACCGTTTTAAAGTTCTGAAAATGTTTTCAAACCTCCCCCACCTCAGGAGGACAGGCAAAGTACAGTGGACCCCACTGCTTCTCTCCCTGGAGGTGACCCTCATCGGTATGAGACCCTCAAAACAAGTGACAGTGTTGACATCCTAAATACAATGAGAGGTGGGCTCCATGTGCTCTCCACCATGGAAAGCACAGCATAGTAAGCGCGAAAACATTCTGCGCACACAGATAAGATGCAAGGACTGAAGGGCCCCTCTGCATATAACTCATAAGACTTTGCTCCTGGGAACGGGAAGTCCAGGCCGTCAGAACCAACCTCCCCCAGTGACAGTTGATCAAGTGTGACTATTCACAGATGAAAGAAACACTGTCAGCCGTCAGAAGTGAGCAAAACCCAGGACCTGTTTTTGCAAGATTTTCCAAGGTCCCGGAACAGACAGAATGAAGAGAAGGAGTCAGCCAGCCGTGTGAAGATGTGGGGAAAGAACTTTCCAGACAGAGGCACAGCAAGGGCAAAGGTCCTTAGGTGGGAACGAGGCCAGTATGTTCATTGAACAGAAGGGAAGCTAGTATGTCTGAAGGCTAGTAACAGAAGGGGTAGAAGAGAAGAGGGTGCGGTGGGGTGGGGTGAGGTGGGCAGACACGGTGCATGGCCTTGCAGCCAGGGGGAGGGACCTGGTCAGGTCTGTATTCTAGAAGATGACTTTGGATGCAATGTGGAGAATCGATTTTGAGATGTTAAGTAGCAGGCTTGCAAAGAAGCTGTATAGTGATCCCAGGACAGACAGAATGAGATTGGACCAGGGGGGAATAAAGAAAGTGGAGCAAGTGTAAGGAATCAAGAGATCATTAAAAGATAAGAAGGTCTAAACATGGGGCTATGAGTGGGTGAGAAAAGGAAGGGGTCAAGGATGACAGATTGGGCTCCCACAGCTGGAAGTGTGGGGCATTCTGTTTATAATAGGCTTCCTGCCTAGGGAACCTACTAGATAGTAAGAACTGGGTAGTCACATTTCACATTATGAATTAATGAACAGTAAGCAGGCATTCAGGTCTGTCCTGTCACTCTCCATGATCTTGGTTCCCAGAAGCCTGCCCCACAGAGGTCACACAAAAGTGAGTGTTAGAGCCACCGTTTGGCCACAGAAGGTACTGCTGGTGACCTGGCACCTTCCCTAAGTGGAGTCCACAGCTCCAGGGCTGGAACCCACCTGTCCTAACATTTGATCTGGTCAGAAAAGCTCAGAGAAATGTTTTTTATCATGGAAAAATTCAAACATATCTAAAAATAAAGAAAATAGAAGGATGAACTCCTTCGAAGCCTGCCATTCTGCTCCAAAAATTACCAACATATTGCCAACCTTGTTGCAGCTAGATTCCCAGCTCCCTCCCAGCCCCACTAGGTTATTGCCAAGCAAATCCCAGGCATCACCAAATAGCTCAGACTGCCCAATATCCATCATATAGACATATGACGAAGTCCACATATTACACTTGGTTGATGTGTCTCTTAAATCTTTTTTTTTTTTTTTTTGTAAATCTTAGGTTCTTCTGCCTTGTCCTCCTTCCTTGCAATTTCTCTGATGAAGACACTGGCCGTTTGTGGACAGTGCTCTGGTCCTGTCATTTCACATGTTCCTCTATGTCCTGTGTTTCCTGTAAACTGGTTGCTAGATATAGGGGTTGATGAATCTCACATTCGATTTTCTGGTAAATAGACATCACAGGAGTTGGCCTGTATTTCTTATTCTATCACATCAGGAGGTGCATCCTGACTGCTTGTCTCTCTTTTTTCCGGTGTTAGATCTGAGCAGTGGATTCAGGTGTAGTCAGACTGAGGCAAGCATTATAAAGTTCCCGTCAGTTTTTCACCTACTGGTTTAATTGATCACGGCTGCCTAGCTTCATTATTTCAGGAGGAGTTGCAAAACAGGGATGTCTTAATTGCATCATTCCTTTCTGCATTTGTCACCTGTTATTCTTCTATAAATAAGAATGTGCCTTCATCCACCCATTTACCTTGAGATACAGGTCATATAGGAAAAGCTGGATACATGTGTGATTTCTTTTCCCCCATTTATTTACCAGTTTTCAGAATAATAAGCCAATTCCCTACCATCCTCCAAAAGGGACCAATTAGTTGTTTTTAGGATCATTGTGAACTGGTAGATTTAACATCTTTTGTGGGTTTTGTGGGGCAGCAGCTACTTGGCTTCAGGCCATTGTTTTGAGGAAGGAGATAGAAATCCAGTGTTGCCAGGTTTCTGGCAGTTTTGTTGTGGTTGTTGTTTTTTGGGGTTGTTTGTTTTGTTTTGTTTTTGTTTTTTTAAGAGAGGCCAGAAATCCAGATTCTTACTCCAGTTATAAATATTAGTATCCAACTTAACGGTGAAAAAAATGAAGAGGGAGAAAAAGACCCCTGATGACAACAGCATGCAACAGCCTCAGGTCACCAGCTTTCAGCCTCTGGATCAGCACTGTCCGAGAGAACTTTCTATGACGGAAATACGTCATATTGTCTCTGTCCAATGTGGTAGCCAGCTAGCTCCATGGGGCTAATAACACTTGGAATGTGGCTAGCGGGACTAAGGAACTGAATTCAGTTCACTAGTGGCTAACCATATTGAGCAATGCAGCTCTGGACAGAATAATCTATTGGTTTCTAAAACTTGGAAACTAGTGGGATAAATGGAGATTTAAACATCCGAGAATACTCTGGATGGTGACCCTGGACTGATAATTCCTCACACTTGCTACGGAATATTTCTGAGCCTAGAACTCAAGTCCACATTCCCTGGTACCATATTCACTGGCCCAACTTCCCCTTCTAGCAAAAATTTCCACCTCACCCCATGCTCTTCAGCTGCCCAGACATGTCTCCTTCTTCTATAAAGCAGGCTCTTGCCCACATAGTGCTTTTGCCAAATCCATCCATCCTTAATTTCGCAAATGTTTATTGAATACACACTATACTCCAGGTATTGTATGGGGTGCTAGGAATACATATTTCCTTCTCCTGAGTAACTTAGAGTGTGGTGAGGGAAACAGTTTAAAATAGTGCTTTAAGTGTTATCCTGGAGGAGACACATCACAGGTCTCCTCCCCCAGATGGGGCGGGAAGTAGGGAGGAGGGACCTTTTGAATTGAGTCTTGAAGGGTATGTTAAGGGTCATCCAGATAAAGAAGGACAGTGGCACAGAGACACTGGGGACTAAAATGTGTTTAAGGAACTATAAACGAGTCACCGTAGCTGTCACCTGGGAGGTGAGGTGGCGGTGGCTGAAGAGTCAGGCAAGGACCACATATTAATAACAACCGTAATAACTGGTTTATGACCAGTGAGGTTCTGAGCACTTTATCTTGGCAAATAAACTACTCACAGTGATCCATCACAGTCTTTACCATTTTCCGGATGGGGACATGGACAAGCAAGGAGGTTCAACAACGAGCTCAAATCACACAACCAATAAGTAGCAAAGCCTATATGTGAATATTGGCAACCTGCTTCCAGGGCCCACTTAATCAGTGCGTGGCCTTGGGGACCCGGCCAATAAGTTAGGACCTAATCTCGAAGGGGATGGGGCACTGGTTTTATGTTCGCATTTTAAAAAGATGATCCTCCTTGGCTATTCCGGAGGTAGAGACATCAGAGAGGAGTCTATTACAATAATCCAGCAAGAGAGGGTGGGGAATGAGAGCTAGCGGGAGATTTATGAAGGAAAATGGAATTGACAGGACTTAAGGACTGGGAATGGGGAGGGAGGGAGAGGGAGGAGTCAAGAGGAGACTGGCTGGGAGTGCAGAGGGAGTGGGAAGGAAGGATGACAGGGTCAACTGAAGGTGTCCAGCAGGTGCTGGGCGGCTGAATCCAGAGGTGGGAGCAGGCTTCAGGAGCCCTGGGCACACGGGTGGCTGACTCCAGGGAAAGTGGTGACAGAGCTCTGCGGTTAAAGGACAGAAAAAGAGAGCGGGGAGCACGGATTGGGGGGAATAGGGGAAAGTCAGCAGACCAATGTCCTGACAACCAAGGGAGAGGGCTCTTAAAGATGTTGCCCTGAGTCAGTGAAAGTCACGTCGGAGAGACGGGGGGTTGGGGGGTGGGGGTGGGGTCATCTCCGTGGTCTCTGAGGACTTTGGGAGGCACTGTACCGAATGCACAGACATTTGACTTGGAAGGGAAGGAGGGAGACACAGCATGACCTCTTTTCTCATGTTGGCCTGTTGAACGGCTCGAGAGGCAAATGGGGGTCTCTGCTAGCTTCCGGTACCCCTCTCTGGAAGTTGCCAGCTCCATCTCACCTGGGGAGCTCTAAAACATGCTGACGTCTGTCGTGATCGAAATCAGAACAGTGGTTGCCTCTGGGAGGGGGCAGGGAAGAACTTTCTGGGGGGTGGAGGAAATGTCCTATACCTTGAATGCGCTGTGGGTTGCATTTGTAAAAATTTACCCAAACACACACTTCAGGTCTGTGTATGTCACTGCATGTAAATTATTCCCCAGAACCGTAACGAGCGACGAAATTACCCGCTGGGCTTTGAAATCAGGGTCTCCGAGCCGGGGGCGGGTGCCTGGGCAGGGAGGCCCCGCGGACGCCGGGAACGCGCAGCCGGGGGGAGACGCGTGGCTGCAGGAGCTGGGCTCGCGCCCCGCAGGTGCGGGGGGCTCGGGCAGCGCTCCCACACGCTCCCTCCGCCCGTCCCCGCCGGGCTGTGCGCTCCGGGGACCCCGGGGGACAGCCCGGGGCCAGGTGCTCGCGGGCAGGACTCCGGGGGCGGGGGCCCCGCGGGACGCACGAGGCGGGAGGGACCGCGCACCCCTCACGCCGCGGGAGCTTAGGAGCCGGGAAGGCCTCGGCTCTCAGCCTCGATCGCGGGGACCCCGGCCGGCCGCCAAGTGGCCATGGGGAGACCTGTCCAGCCCTCCGGCCGGCCGACCTCGTGGCGCAACGGTAGCGCGTCTGACTCCAGATCAGAAGGTTGCGTGTTCAAATCACGTCGGGGTCAGCTTTTTTTTCCCCCCCCCTCCCCCGCTACGGCTTCCGTCACTTTTATTTATTCCCCTCCCCGGCGTGTCCACCTACCCTCTAGCGCCCGCGCCCAAGTCGGAGCAGCGCCTCGCAGGGGCCGGACGGGGAGCGCCCCTGGCGCCACGTCCCGAGCCGCCCCGTCGGGGGAGCCCAGATCTCGCGGGCTGGTGGGCGCGGATCCGGGCCCCGCAAGCGCGGGCGAGGGGCAGGGCTCCGGAGGACTGGCGCGCAGGGCGGGTCGCTGGGCCCGGAGGGGAGAGGGTGGAGCGCGCGCGGGCGGGAAGGTCGCTCGGCGGCCGAGAGGAGCGCGCCGTGCGCCACGTGGGCGGGTCCGGCGGGCGGGAGGACGAGTTCAGGCCCCAGAGAGAAGAGCGGAAGCCGCCTCTCGGCGGACGAGGTGGCCGAGTGGTTAAGGCGATGGACTGCTAATCCATTGTGCTCTGCACGCGTGGGTTCGAATCCCATCCTCGTCGGCGTGCGGTTGTCGCAGCCGGGGTTCAGTTTTGTCATCTCCAAGCAAGAATTTCTCTTGTTCTCTCTCACCTGCCCCGGTTCCGTTTCCGCGTCACCCCGGTAGTCCGCGGTACCCCCCAGCCGTGGTTTTCGTCCCTTCTACTCCGTGTTCCAGGACGGCCACAGCTTGGTTACCAGGGGGCACCTAGGCATCCACTCACCTGCAGGAGAGCTGACCTGGCCAAGGAAGGAAGGCGCCGAACCTCTTCCGCCGGCGCCGTGGCTTAGTTGGTTAAAGCGCCTGTCTAGTAAACAGGAGATCCTGGGTTCGAATCCCAGCGGTGCCTCCGCGCTCTACTGCTTTTGCGAAGAGCCCCTGGGCATCCACAGATCCCTCACCGTCCCTCCCGGAATCTGCCGGGAGCCTTTGGGCGGCGCTTTCCATTCCTGGTGTTTCGTGGTTGCGTGAGCGGAAGCCGCGTGCTTGTTGCCAGGCTGGGGCTCCGTATTTGCGCCCTGCTGACCCATGCCGCCGAGCACCAGAGTAGCATCTGTACTTGCCCGGATGTTGCCTTGCTGTTACTTTCCGAGACGCTCCGGGATTCCGCCTGCATGTCGTTTTCGCGTCTCTCACAATGGTCCTGTCCATTTCCAATTTTTCCTGAAGATAGGACCGATCAGTAATGTAAATTCTATATAGTTCCAGACTGAGACGCCAGGCGTAGCTGGCCGGTTAGCTCAGTTGGTTAGAGCGTGGTGCTAATAACGCCAAGGTCGCGGGTTCGATCCCCGTACGGGCCAGAAGCGGTCTGCCTTTTTCTTAAACTTTGCACCGCTATAGTTGGTTACTGGGGAAGGTTTGTGGAGCAACATTTCCAATTCCAGAACTTTTCACACCCAGAATAGAAACATGTTGAAATTCAGTCCAAGATACTGTCTTGGGGGGGGAGGAGGAGGGAGGTTTAATAAAACTGGAGTTCCTTCTGTGATCTCTATTTATAACTCTCCCGGCCATAACGTGGGGCTCCTGGAACTTACTATGTGGACGGGAAGCTTGGAGACGATGCAACGAATATGACACTGATCGGCGGAGGGTGGGAAATGGGGTCGGGAATGGAGGTAACAAGCGTTTCCAGTCTTCCTCCTGAGTCAAGATGTCCAGTTCACCCAGCCCCTGCCTGTCCCCTTCCAGATCTGAGAACACAGTCCCTTCCTTTCGGTACCGGAACACCCTGCTTGTGTTTCTGCTTTTACTGGATCCCGGAGCCCAGATCTGTGCCTCTCACGTGCCCCACCTCCCGCGTCCGCCCCCCCCCCCATCGCAGTGCCGCCTGAGAGCAGGAACCATATACCCTTGCCCACGTCACCTGGGACTCCCGCCCGGCACCCAGCATCGGCCAAGAGAGCTCCACAAAAGAGGCTGACCCTCATCCCCGCTCCTTCAGCTCACCAATCCCTGGAACCCCACACAGACACACCTCAGCCTTAGCAGCAGCACTTTAATTCCACAAAAACTCAGAAAGCCAAAACTGATTAGAACACGCCACAACAGGTGGACTTCAAAACCAGCAACAATTCTGCCTGAACCCTGAGAGCAGTGAGACCCCTCCCACCTCACCCCCTCTACCATGCAATGCATTCCTTCTAGTTCCACCCCAGTTCTGGCTGGGGAAGGGGGGATGGTAGGGGGCCAGAGGGCAGAAGCAGGGGGTTATCCATCTGCAGGTGTGCATCCTTGTCTGCATGGCCTGTGGCCAAGGACCACTCAAGCTCCCACAGCCCCTGGCACCTGAGATGTGGCCAATGGAGTCAGGGTGGCCACAGTGGGGGCTGGAGCCTCTTCTGTTCTCCTTTCTTGACCGCCTATGGCAGTCACGTCTCCCAAGCCGAGACCTAAAGCCCTGGGTTCCCAGAGATGGTGTTCTCGCTGGAGAAGAGGGTTGAGAACAAGGTCGCTACAGATGGCCAACTTAACAGAAGCAGAGCATCATCCCCTCCCACCAGGAGAGGCTTCAGAACTTCCCCATATACACCTGAATAAGGCCCAGCGAGTGGTCGCAGGCCTGCGAAATGCGTCTGGAAGAGCCTCCAATACATAGGCCTCCCCTCAGCGGGCAGTTCCCACCAGGGCTCCTTGAAGAGTCCTTAGGATCCTGCTGGGCCCTGGCTTGGCCACTCCTGCCCTCCCGGTCACTTGCACAAGGCCTCCAGCACCTCCAGGGTGCGTCGGATATCCCGGACTTGGCGCGCCAGCCCCTGAACTGGCTGCAGAGCCCGCTCCAGCTCTTCACAGCGCGCCAGCAGGGTGTACATGCCCTTGATGCTCATGTCCACCGCTTCGCCTAGGGAGTCCACGGCGTCGCGGTAGGTCTGGATGCAGCCCACGCTCAGCGCGGTCAGCTCCTGCACCGCGCCACCCAGCCCGCGCAGCAGACGGTCCACCCTGCCGCCCAGCTCCCGACTCAGCCGCTCCAGGTCCCGCAGCACGTCGGGGTCGATGGGGGGGATGGCCGGAGTGGGCGCGGGCGCTGCACAGGGCCGCGCCGGGGCAGGGGGCGGGGGTTGAGGGGCGCCGCTCAGACGGATCTTGAGTTGCAGGTTGTTGGCCACGAAGTGGGTGAGGTCGCCATGGCGGCTCACCGTGCCCTCGAGCTCTAGGGGGCTGGAGATGGTGGCGCGGCGCCCGCCGCCCGCGCCAGGCTCGGCACCCCCTGCCGACCCGGCGCCGCCGCACGCCCCGCTCAGCCCGTCCAGGCTGCGGCTGTCCTGAAGGCGGCTGGAGAACGAGCGGCCAGCCCTGCCGGCCGCCGCCGCCTCCTCCTCCTCCTCGTCTTCCTCCCGCGGCTCAGCCTCCATCCCGCTGCCTCCCGGGCTCCCTCGACGGCAGCCCCTCTCGGATGCAGGCTCGTCCTCCGGCGGCTCAGGGTCCTGGCGCCCAGAGGACCCGTGCGGGTCGGGCTCGGGACCCGGCGCCCCCCGGAGGCTCCCCGGCGCGGACGGCGTCCCTCCGCGGCCCGGCTCGTAGTCCCGAGCCTCCCGCTCGGCCCGGTGGACGGCGCCGCGGCTCGAAGTCTTCGGGGACGCCGCGGGGTGGCGGCTCGCGCCCCCAACGTTCTCGGCCTCTTCCTGCCCGGACACCGGGAGGCCTGAGGGCGGCGCAGAGGGCGCTCGGCCCAGGCCGCCGCCGAAGATCGCGGCTTGCTGTTCCCCCAGAGCCAGAAGGTCCGCCTCGGGCCCAGGCCGCCCCCGGGACGACTCCATGCCGCAGTTTGGGGCAGGAACCGCGGAACTGATTCGCCCCGACTCGGGCGGCGTCGGCGGCGCCTTTAAGGGGCGTTGGTAGAGGCGCGCGATTGGCAGCCGGCTGACAATGGTCAGGACAGGAAGAACATTCTGATTGGTCGCGGTGACCAGGAAGTCCCGGAAGAAGAGCTGTTATTGAGCCGCCGAACCCACGTGAGAGCCGGCGGGGCGGGGCGAAGGAGGTGACAGCTGCCCTCGTCGCTCCGCCCCCTCAGGATGAGGCCGGGCAAGTCTTAAAGATCAAGGTCCTGAAATACCCGAGCCCTCCGGGGCGGGGCTCAGACTCCTTCCACCCACAATTGTCACGTCCACAGTTGTTGCTTAGCAAACACACCCAGTGGGCACCAGAGATGCGGCTCCTAGAGAGTTTGTGGGAATGAAAAGAGTCTCTCCTGCTTGGACCATCGGGATTGAACCACGCTTAGTCCATCGGGAGGGATGCAACCGGAATCCCCAGCAGAGCACGAATGGTCGGGTCCACCATCCTCGGCTCACCGACCTGCAGAACTGTCCTGAGCGACTCACGATGGACAACCAAGCAGGCTTAAGGGCTTTCCTGTGCTTTTGCCACTCTGTCCTCTGTCTCCGGCCCCCTCCACGTTGGAGAATCTCTCCGCTTGGAGGATGGTGTGTGATTTTGCCACGAGGTAAAATATTCAATAAACGAATGGCTCTGCACGGAGATCGGAGCCCCGCTACCATTCTTCTGATCCCAACTCTTCCTTGTCTTCCCTTCGTTGGTCTCGCGGAAGCCACAGTGCTGGCCCCCTCGCTGTTCTTCTGCCTCAGGGATAGACACTTGCTCTTCCTTTTTTTTTTTAAGGCTGAGTCTACCAAGGAAAATTTCAACTTCAGTTCCTTACTTACTCAAATACCACCTCTTCAGTGCAGCCTCCCCTGATAACCTGTTTAAAATTGGATCCGCTTTCCCCAGCAATCCCCGATTTCCCTTCCCTTCCTTTTGTGCGTGGCATATACTATATACTTGCTTACTTGCTCATGTAAGCTCCTTGAGGGTAAGGGTTTTTTGTAGGGCTTTTTTTTTGGTCTGTTTTGATCCGTATCCGCAGTGTTTAGGGTGCCTAGCCTATAGTAGGCGCTGTGTAAATATGTATTAAATGACCACAAACCACTGATTTCCTCTTTGTGACTTGAACACATTCAAGATGTGTTTCTGTCACTTGTACCCAGAGTCCTGACTAATAAACCATGAGGTCCCCCCTCTCTGGGGCTGAACCCCCCCAACCCCGTCTTCCCTTTACCCCTCAGCAGGCAGACACTCTTTATTCAGCAAGTGATAGAAAACACAAGTTGGACCAACACCAACGTTAAAGCAAGGACACTGCATTGTGTCATGCGATAATGGTCTCAAGACGAGAGAGTGTGCTCAGAGAAGCTTGGGTCCAGTGCTCTAGGACTGTCACAAAGGACCTGGTTTCTGTCTGCGGGGGCAGCGTTATCCCAAGTGCGCTTCCTCATGGGGGCAAAATGGCTACTCTTTGTCATTCTTCCGGGGGTTGTATTCGTCTCCTTGGGCTGCTATGACAAAACACCATAAACTGGGTGTCTTAAACAACAGACATTTATGTCTCACACTTCTAGAGTCTGGGAAGCCCAAGATGCCAGCTGATGTGGTGGTCCCTGGTGAGACCCCTCTTCCTGTCTTCTCCATGTGCCCTCACATGGTGAAGAGAGAAAGCTAGCTCTCAGCCTCTTCTTAGAAGGGACTAAATCCTATCGTAAGGACCCCACCCTCATGACCTTGTCTAAACCTAATTACCTCCAAAGGCCTCACCTCCAGATACCATCACACTGGGGACTAATGCGTCAATAGACGACTTTCGGAAGGACAAGCACCCTCAGTCCATAACGGGGGTCATTCGTCATCCTTTTTGGTCTCCTGAGATCAGACTCAATATCTAAGGACACTCCCACGTCATCAGGAAGCTGAAATATCAAGCAGCCCCTCTCCCAGCTTCCCAGGCACACAGCTCCAGCTCTACCATGGAGCCCTCCTGCAGTGGAATTTTCCCTGGCTGGGCCGACTCCACGCCTGGTCCTTCTAGAGATTCCTGGTGCTCCTCCAGAGGCTGTGAATCACCTAGGATGCTCATAATAAAGTCCACTTATGCTTAAATGAGCCCAAATTATTCTGTTTCATGCAACCAGAACCCCTGAATGATATGCTCCCACACCTTCCAGAAGGGGAGAAAGGAATCGCTTCCACCAAAGGCCCAGTTAATTTCCCTTTACATCTTATTGGCCTAAACTGGTTCAATGTACAATTTAGTCACATTGGCCAGAGTAATACCATGTCTGACTGACTTAGGACTGAGTATCCAGGGACGACTGGATGGCTCAGGCAAGCGGCTGCCTTTGGCTCAGGTATTGATCTCAGGGTCCTGGGATCTCCGGCGTGGGCGGGGCTCCCTGCTTGGTGGGGAGTCTGCTTCTCACTCTTCCTCTGCCCCTCCGCCCACTTGTGCCCACTCACTCACTCTCTCTCTCAAATAAATAAATAAAATCATAAAAGAAAAAAAAAAAGGACTGAGTATCCAGAAGCAATCACTCTGGCAAGGTGATGAGAATCAACTTATTAGGTTAAAACAATTATGCTCCTCCTGGAGCTAGGGGTGGGTCAGTCCCCTCCAAACCCCAGTAGCTGCAACTCAGTGGCAGAGGGGGCAGGGGCTGTGGGGGAGCAACCACAGTGTGTCCTATGTTAGGGGTCAGCCAAGTATGGCCCATGGGCCAGATCCAGCTCACTACCGCTTTTATACGGCTTGTGAGCTGAGAATGGTTTTTACAGGTTTAAATGGTTGAAAAAGAAAGGATATGAAAATTCATATAATGATGTGAAATTTAAGTTTCAGTGTCCATAAGTTTTTTTGGAATACGGCCATGTCCATGCATCGATGAACTGTCTCTGGTCACTTTCGTGCTGCGATGACAAAGCTGAGTAGTTTCAATAGAAGCCAGATGGCCTGTAGAGACTTCAGGATTTACTTCCCGGATTTTCCCGGATAGTTTGCTACGTTGTTCACTCCAGGCTGCTGGAAGTGGGAGCCTACCCCAGGATGGGCTCATTACTCCTGTTTGCCTATCGCTGTCAGCGGCCGTGGGTCACTGCTGTGGTCTGACGTGATATTTTCATGCATATGCACACTCTGTTCATGAGACTTTGGAATACTCTTTTTAGAACTTTGTAAGAGCAGATTTGGGTCAAAGAGGTTTGTACTACCCAGTAGTAGGGAGATAGAGGAGGATGAGTTTTGCCGCAATCGGACAAATATCTTTCTATATTTATTTATTTAAACACATGTGTTTATATTTTATTTTTTTAGAGAGAGAGAGTGCAAGCAGGGGTTTAGGGAGGAGGGGTAGAGGGAGAGAGAGAGAACCCCAAGCAGTCTCCATGCCCAGTAAGGAGCCTGACATGGGGCTCGATCTCCCAACCCTGAGATCATGACCTGAGCCAAAATCAAGAGTCAGTCTCCTGTCCAACTGAGTCAACCAGGTGTTTTTAAAGGCCCATGTTTTCCCCACTACTCCATGAATACACATATTTTTTTTTGTTGCAAATTATGCAATGCCTGTATATGGAAATTTGGTATATGAAGAAGATGGTGGTATTTGGGATCAATTTATATAAATGGTGCAAGTATAAGAGACCAGCGAGTTGGACCAAAACAAAAATGAAAAAAAAAAAAAGGTTTCATCCCTTACGTTAAAAAAAATAATTTTGATTACATTTTAATTTTTTATTATTTTTTTAAGATTTTATATATTTATTTGACAGAGAGAGAGACAGCAAGAGAGGGAACACAAGCAGGGGGAGTGGGAGAGGGAGAAGCAGGCTTCCCACTGAGCAGGGAGCCCGATGCGGGGCTCGATCCCAGGACCCTGGGATCATGACCTGAGCAGAAGGCAGACACTTAACGGAGTGAACCACCCAGGCGCCCCTTGATCACATTTTTAAATGAAAAACAGACAATTATGAAAGAAAACAGAAGTGCATGTTTTGTTGGTTTGTTTGTTTTATAAGCTTGGGGTGACGAAGGCTTCTTAAAGTAAGACCCAAAATCAGATAAAACTATGTTAAATGACAAATTGCAGAGAGGGAAAGAAAATATTGGCCCAGTATATGACAAACCATTAGTATCCCTTGATCTTACTCGTAAATCTGCCACAGATGGCCAAGGACTCCAGGGTCGGTAAATTCAGTAGTTCAACAAAATCACCAGAGACCCTGGTTCTTTCCATCTTTACGCTCTACCAATCACGCTCAATCTGCCAATCTGTCTTAAAAAAAAAAAAAAAAAAGAAACCATGTAAAAAAAAAATAATGAAATCATGTGTATGTAGTTGTATTCATTAAGATAAGCACACTAATCAAAAGCGATACCACATTTACAGCAACTGCAAATACAAAGATAGTGCTCTGAATTCTGTTTCTTTTTTTTTAATTTTTTAAATAGATTTTTATTTATTTATTTGTCAGAGAGAGATACAGCGAGAGAGAGAACACAAGCAGGGGGAGTGGGAGACGGAGGAGCAGGCTCTGCGCTGAGTAGGGCTTAATCCCAGGACTCTGGGATCATGACCTGAGCCAAAGGCAGACACTTAACGACTGAACCACCCAGGCACCCTGAATTCTGTGTTTCTTTTTTTTTTTTTTTTTAAGATTTTATTTACTTATTTGACAGAGAGAGAGACAGCGAGAGAGGGAGTACAAGCAGGGGGAGTGGGAGAGGGAGAAGCAGGCCTCCCACTGAGCAGGGAGCCAGATGCGGGGCTCGATCCCAGGACCCTGGGATCATGACCTGAGCCAAAGGCAGACGCCCAACGACTGAGCCACCCAGGTGCCCCAATTCTGTGTTTCATCGAGCATCAAAAACCACCCATCTTTTTTTAAAAAAAAGATTTATTTATTTGTTATTTTACAGAGCGAGAGAGCATGAGCGCATGAGCAGGGCAAGGGGCAGAGGGAGAAGGAGAGAGAATCTCCCGTCGGAGCACAGAGCCCCACACGGGGCTCCATCCCAGGACCCTGAGAT